GCGGGGGCTCGCCTGACTGAGTTAAGCTCACCGTCCGATTCTCGTGAGGCTCTGGGCGTGAAGACTGGTCTCGTGAGGGGGAGGCTCTGAAGGAGAGGCTGGGCTGACCCTACATTCTCAAGCAATGGCCTACTGATAGAGGAATTTTCCATCACGTGAACAGCACATGACAACTCACAGCTTAATGAAAAATTACAGTAGGGTGATTGGATTATATAAACTAAATGTATTAACCCAAACTTATATAATTGTTATTGCCATGAGACATGAGCTAATACACTACGCTACATCATAGAAAATGGTTACAAATAGTGGGCAACTAATTTATTTTATTGTTTCTACTTTGTGCTCTATTGATCGTGAGATATCAAATAATACAGTGAAGATGAGTAAACAACAAATAACAAAACGTAAAACAATAGACAATATACATATATTTTCTCACGTACAGTACATACTTTCTTCATAGGCACTTCTTTTGTTTTTTATTCAAATTCGTATATCTACTTCTTTCATCTTATATTTAAATATTTCAATTACATTTTTAATTTGAATTTTCCTTGATACACACTAAATGCCTGGGGGTTAAGTGTAATAGCACGAGTAAGGTGGTTTACCACAGGCTAGATGGTCACCACCTGCACCATTACCACCTGCACTACCATCTACACCATTACCACCTGCACTACCATCTGCACCATTACCACCTGCACTTGCACTACCATCTGCACCATTACCACCTGCACTTGCACCTACCCATCTGCACCATTACCACCTGCACCTGCACTACCCCTCTGCAAGCACCAGACCCATTTGTCACATTCATCCTCTGACCAAGTCATTAAGGTCAGATGTGTCACTTCCTGAGGGCAAGCTAAGGTTAGCTTGATTTCCTAACATGCCAGGTCTCTCTCTCTCTCCCCAGTTTAAGGTTGTCACAAAATAATAATAATAAAATATTCAGTCACTTTATTTCTTATACAACACAATACAAACATTACCAATTATTCATTATACTGCATATATATATATATGGATCCTATATAATATTTGTACACACAAGAACACTTTTGTTATCTAAGTATGGTAAAATAAATATAGTTTCCAGTTTTCAATAACATAGAACAAAAGTATGCAAAATGTTCTCAGAAGTCTGGAGAACAAATGTATGTTAAATATTGTTTGGAAGTTAGAGAAGAAAAGTATTGCAAATATTCCCTGAAGTTTAATAAACTATATAAATATTTTCACTATTCTCTGAAACAATAATTGAAAAAAAAAAAAAAAAAAAAAAAAATATATATATATATATATATATATATATATATATATATATATATATATATATATATATATATATATATATATATATATAGGCATATATATATATATATATATATATATATAAGAGCATATATATATATATATATATATATATATATATATATATATATATATATATGCTGATAATCATTAGTGAGAAGAAAAACACGAGTTTTCAGCGCTGTAATTACATTCAGGAGTGAGCAGCAGACTAAAGAGAAGTACAAAACAAGGTGTATATATACAGAGGAGGGTGACCAGGTCCACAATGGTCAGGTATTAGGTAATGACCCTACTAATCTTAAATAGCACGCAACGGTCGGTCATTACCTAATACCTGACCACAGGACCTGGTCTCACCCTCCTCTGCATATATGCACCTTGTTTTGTACTTCTCTCTAGTCTGTACTCACCCCTGAAGATGTGAATTACATGAAAGCGCTTGGGAGCTTCTGTGTTTTCTTTCTTTCCTTATGCCATTTAGAATATACCTAGATCACGCGCACCTACAGTGATTTATTTGTATTATATATATATATATATATATATATATATATATATATATATATATATATATATATATATATATATATATATATATATATAAAAGCATAAATGGTGATTGATTGTTTGTAAATGCAACAGTAATGAATATGTGAGGCGTTGTGAGAGAGGTAGTGTGTGTGTGTGTGTGTGGTGTGTGGCAGCCTAATACTCCAGGCCGGGGTAGCTAACAGAGGAGTCATTGCATCCTAATACATTTCAGAGAATATTACAACAGCAGGAGAGACTGATTCTAGAAATTAATTAAAAACTGTTGCAACACAAAATCTCTCGAAACTATGATCACATTAAGTGTTAAAAAGTTGTGAGTTTCTGATATTTTACAAAAATTTCTACTACCCTCTGTCCTGCGTGGCAGTGAGAAGTGATACCACCCTCAGTGTCAAGACCCGACTGAATTACTCAGAATTGGCAAATTGTACTGCCAAGCTTTGCCAATAAATTTGTTAAACTAAAAAGACTACTCACCAAACGTTTCAAAATACTCCACACTTCTGTCTCTATTCGGCCTTTACAGAGACGTAACTTTTTTAGATTGTCTTAGATATAATTTCATATATTATATTAGTTTTTATCCCTCGTCCAGAAATCGTGAGAGAGACATCAAGAAACTCACCTCTGAAGGCACGGAGATAGTTAAACGCAGGGCCATCGGGAGAGAGAACCCAGTTTCCAATATATAACCATTAATAACTTGGGAGATTTCGACGACACCGCATGTGTATTCAGAAACTAGCACTCAGAAGAAAAGGACACGATACAGTAGGCAATAATAAACAAGTGTTATAAGATCACTCGGCGTATCCTAAGGCGAGCACAACTTCCTGAAGTTTGTGAAGGTAAAACAGATTTATTCACGAGGTTTGCTTCACACAGGAGAACTTGTTGCAAGGACGGGGTGCACTTGGATGCTTAGGTGGCATAACAGCTGTGAAAGATGATTTTGATATTCTAAAGATTCTTCAATTTAAAGTTGCTTAGCCAATAGGCTACTATAAAACCCTAGTTATTAAGGCCATCGTGAGGCAAGTGTCACCTTTCAACCACGCTCATATAATAGGGTGGTGCATAAGTCTGTTCACTGAAAACAATTGTATTATTTATATTGTTTTCGGTAAAGCGACGTATGCGCCACCTGTATATATTCCATTTTTATAAACCAGAGACTAGCCAACAGTTGATTTATTTGGTAGTTTCATCTTTTGGGGATGTTTCTCGCGTTTGATGTAGATGGATCAGTTCATTAACATCGTCACGGAAAGGCACATGTGCCTTTCCGAGATAAGAACTCTCTATTATAACTCGATGCTGGCTGACACTGGCGTAGCAATCTTTGTGTGTGAAGGTTCAGCCGTCCGCTGCTCTAACAATATTACTTGAAAACTTCTTGACCTACAGAGATGAAACTTTGTAGGCTCATTTACACGTCTATGATGATAATGTTCGAATATAAAATGGAACCGTTTTCTGTCGTTTCCCTCAGGAGGGTCAGGAGGCGGCACCGATGTGAAGTGTCATCAATGGAACATAATATTACTTTGGGTTTGGTTTTGGAATTTTTTCAAGACATTGTTTGATTAAATTACAATAGGGAGAGGATCCCATATAATTCTACAAAAAATGATGCTTAATATGACCTCTGACCTATCCTACGAGGTCAAACATGGTATTTTGGCATGTTTTGATTGGTCTTAACTCCCGGATGTATACATATAGACGGGATAAGATTTTTAATCTTATACCAAAGGACTCTCAGTGTTGTTAGACCCAAGTAATCCTAACGTCACTCATAACGCTGTGGGGACTGAAGGCCATTCTGAGGGTTACATGTTGCTGTCACTGAGTGGAAGGGACGTCAACGAAACAGTTTGTGATATTACAAGAGAGAGGATTAATACAGGGGTAGGTTAGGGCCGGGAGGGGTAGGGGTGAGGGGCCGAGGGGTAGGTGAGGGGTCGAGGGGTAGGGTGAGGGGACGAGGTAAGTGATCGAAGGGTGGGTGGGGTCGAGGGGTAGGGTGATGGAGACTAGGGGCGGGGTGGGAGCCGAGGGGTTGAGTGAAGGGTCGAGGGGTGGGATAAGAGGGTCGAGTGGCGGGGTGATGGGGTCGATTGGTTGGGTGGGGGTCGAGGGGTGAGGGTTCAGAGGTAGTGAACGAAAGTCAAGGTTCAGAACTACACAAAATAAATGCAACATAAACATCTCCACAACACTTAAAATCAACATACAAAAGTTCGACTCTATAATACGGTTTGAGGCACAGAGAATGAAAGCACTCAGACATATACAAGTGCAAAGTGACTCGTGTTAAGTGCATAGAAAGATTTGTTTTGATCTAATGATGTATATCGAGAAAAAAGAAGAGAATTAACTTTTAGTGATGTAGATACTCGGCCTGTCTCTTCTGTGATTGGAGGAAATAACGTACCAATCAGCTTCTTTACCAGATATTATGGTTGATGATAATTATTTTTTCCTGGATATAACCTTTGATATGCAGTAGCTACACACCCGATGCCGACTCAAGTACTTCAAAACTACATTTTCAATTATACATTACACATTTATACATCATACATTACAATATGTTGATATGGCAGCTTTGTGTGTCGATGAATCAAATACAATCCTGCATTTTTTTTTAATATCTTGTATCCTTCTCTTTAGCAGGGCTGTGAAGGCGAATTATAACCATCTAAAGAGAAAATAATGCCCTTCCTTGTATAAAATATTTTATATATGTAGTGTAAGAAAATAAATTAAAATGCATCAAGGAATACAAGGCTTTATGGTGTATGGCGGAGACTTGGCCGGCTGGCGCGTCACAGCTGAGATAAATAACATTGTTCCATGAATCGCATGACGGGAAGTGTTGAATTTTTTTAGTGAGAAATTTAATGGATTTTTAGTATTGTTTATGGGTTACATACGTCATTTTAAGATATATTTGTTTTTAATAAACAGAGTATTGGCGATCTTGTTACATCTCGTTCAAAATCAAGGAGGGTGCTCAATAAACTAGCTACCCTCACAGGGCAACTCTGAAATGTCGGGAACCTTCATAACATCCAGCTCAAGGTACAACTTGGTAGATGAACTAAGATTTGGGAAAGAGATAGAAATTGTCTTTGGAAACCCGTTCGTTTCTAAATCGTATGTGATACCGCTATGGTGTCATGTTAACAGCTCCGTGTACTGTAGACGATATTAACAGTTTTTCTCCACAGTTACGAAGCAATTGCAGTGGGTAAATTTCATTTTTTATTTACATACATGTATGTATAAGTTTAACTAGTTAACGGGTGCGAGGATGACACAAAAAATTGTGTGTAGTGTGCGTATCTGAGACGCTATCATGTTTATCTAGTTTTCTATTGCCGTTTATATAAACATCAATAGTCAGGCACGAGTGTACAAACGTCGACAGAAACAACTAAACACGTGGTATAGAGCTTCCTCTCCACGCTGGCCTCTACCGCTATATCAGGCCTTGAACAACAACTAAGTACGATACAATAAATTCGATAATGAAATGCAAATACTTAAACATCTACAGGAGATACATAACTTCATTTAGCGTATCTCCTTGCATATGGAAATATGACCCTGATTAAGATATGACCAAAATTATCCCTGATACTACAAAACCACAACATTAGTTCATTGATCACCACAGGTACGATACGACCCTTCACCTCACTACTCCTACCCTACACGTCGACGCCTGAACAGTTCTCATACTTCCTCTTCGTCGGAGTCTTGGAGGATGTTTTTGGTATGATCAGGTTCGTAGTTCTTGAGGCTCGGGACCTGTGGGAGGTGGTGGTGAAGGCTGTGATAGAGGGCGGAGGGCGGCAGTGCTTTAACTCGCAGGTAGATGAGAAAGCCAGCCAGCACCATGATGACGAAGATTGTGGCGTTGTGCCAAGTGAAGAGGAGTGACGATCATCATCTGGCCAGTGTCGTGCTCTGCCCACTTCTCCCCCCATGGTGGGTATAAGATGAACCCGATCTGATAGAACCACGTGTTCTGGGGAGAAGAGGTGTGTGACGTCATAGAGAGTATCACAACAAAGACAGTGTTTCATAATACAAGACATTACTCAGACACCTTATCACCTCCCTGCCATCATTACCGGGTATTTTTTTTCTGACATAATAAAGCATCATGGAAGACACCACTCGAGCGAGGTGGTGATGACTGCCAGGAGATGGGAGGTTGACACTCAGCATTTACACGTCCACGTTTTATACATATTTACACGATTTTAGGGCTTGCTCTCGCTAGCTGGATAAAGATGTTCCCGTTACTCTTACATAAGCCGACTTTCCCCTTAAACTGTCTCTCCTCCCTTCCCCCTTCAGCTGCCTCCCCCCCTCACCTGTAGGAGGGTGAAGTAACAGCGGCACAGTGCTGGCAGGATGGTTTGTCTTGTAGCACATCTCCATGGTCACCGACACCGCGCTCGCCACCACCACGTACACCAGCAGCATGTGTACCTGTCAGAACACCTGTTGTTAGTATGTCAGAACATCTATTGTTTGTATCTGTCAAAACACCTGTTGCTATTGTTCAGACCAGAGACCACCTGTTGTTATTGTCAGAACACCTGTTATTCTAAATTGTCAAAACACGTGTTGTTAACACCTGTAAGGCCACCTATTATTCTGGTCTCTGAACCAAAGTTAGTATTAACTCGGCTGCACTCGAGGGAGATGTTAACTCACTCTGGTGTGATCTTGACCTTAAATCATAGCGCCTGTAGGAGCTATTTGATGAATATACTTGTCAAATATACATACATACATACATACATACATACATACATATATACATACATACATACATACATACATACATATATATATATATATAGTTAGCCCTTTGAGCAGTACCCACAGGAATGTACAGTAATATATATTAATGTACTGTGCAGATGTGAAGGTGACTCAGGTGTTATGTACTACGGAGGAATTAATGAAGTACATTATGAAGCACATGTTAGCAGTACTTAGAAGTATGTAAGTATCTCTCTCTCCATTACTTAACACGAGATCAATACCTCCTGACTTGACTGGCAGACGATTGTAATGACGAGTTATTTGTCGTACAGGTGAGATGTGACTGCCAGGTGGGTCTGTGTGGAGCTAATTGGTAAGGCACTCGAGAGGGGGTGTATCTACCCCGAGCTTCCTTCCTCCTTCCTTTCTTATTTCGCTTCTCTTCCTTTCTCCCTTCCTTTCCTCCTCCCCTCCCTACCTATTTCACTTCCTTTCTTCTCCCTTCCTCTTTCCTCCCCTCCCCCCCATCCTTCCTTGTCTTCCTCCTTCTTCCCCTTCCCTCCCTTCCTCCCTCCATTCTTCCTCTCCTCTCCTTCCTTCTCCCTTCTTCCCCTCTCTTTCCTCCGCTACTCATCCTTTTCCTTCCCTCCTTTCCTCCCTATATCCTTTCTCCCCTTCCCCTCCTTCTTCCTCCCTTCTCTCACTACCTCATTCCTTCCCCACCTGTATATCCATGGGGTTCCGGCCGTGTAGGTGGTAGAAGAAGATGAGGGCCTCCATACCAAGAGCCAGGATCGAGGAGACGAAATCCATGTCAGGCGGGAGAGGTACGCGGTAGTGGGTGATCATGTCCACGGCGCCGTTCAGCCCGAAGAAGAAGAACATAGTCATGTGTTGGGCGTTACCGAGGTGAGAACTTACCGTCGACGAACCCCGTAACGAATTCACCTGTGGGAGTGTGTTAGTTGTTATTTGAAGGTAATTATAGGAGAGTGCAATTATGGTAGGAAGCAGGGACTTGTGAGTTACGGGAGTGTGATTGAGGGAATTTATAATGGTAATAAAAGCAGGAAACAGTTAATTATAATACGTAAATTTAACTAATAATAGAGTAATATTGATAATAATACCAATTACATGTGATAATAGAGATAGTAGCGATTATTAATATTATTGAGTATTTAACTACGAAAGGCGGAGGATTGTCAATTTTAATGTAAAATAACAGTAATAATGTTATGATGACGGTATGGTGATAATGGCGGTGAAGACAGTAACAACAGTAACAGTAACAACAACAGCACCAACCCGTCATGCCGACGACGGAGGCGACGATCTTGAGGATACCTTCCAAGGGCACCCGCGGGCAGCAGGAGACGCAGCGGAAGGAGGAGGTGTTATGGTAGCGTGCGGTATTTGTCTCCAAGAGCCGACGCCGCACGCTGACACATGAAGTACCTCAGGAACACTCGCACGTGAACCAGACGCCGAAGAGCGAAGAACGTCCTGAACCACGTGGCCGACGAACGACCCCATCCTGTCTGTAGGGAAGCGGGAGGAGATGTTACGTCTGGCCAGGTCTTGGCGAGATGTCAGGGTTAGGTTCCCTTAAGGAGGTGATACGTGAGGGTTGTGGTCTAACTCGAAAGTATTGACACCTGGTGTGCGCCCTCCAAACGTTTCGGTGTGGAGTGATCGTCTCCCAGGTGAGGGGGCCCATGAAAATTTTTTGCTCTGTCTCTGATTAGCACACACACACACACACACACACACACACACACACACACACACACACACACACAGGGTGTGGTGGGTGGGAGGGTGTGACGAGAAAGTCCATTAGTGTTCTACTAATTTTGCCGTTGTATTAAATGTCTTTGTTAGTTAGTGACCTTTTAACAGTGTGTGTGTGTGTGTGTGTGTGTGTGTGTGTGTGCGTGTGTGTGTGTGTGTGTGTGTAATAATAAATGTATATTTACGTATATCTATGATAATGATACGTCAACATGTATATACGCACCTGTTTCAATATTTGTACATATGTGTATTTGCGTGTTTGTGTTTATGAATGTACTTGTATATGTACCTGGGAGACGATTACTCCACACCATAACGCTTGGAGGAGCATCAGAAGGGCGTCAGTACTTTCGAGTTAGCCCGACTGCAAACCGAGGCAGACAAGCGCCAGCACCGGAAAGACGCTGCTACTGCCCCTCCCGCACTAGATGTAGCCCCCCACACGTGCAACATCTGTGGACGTCCTTGCCGGTCCTGTATCAGCTTCTCGAACAACTCAGAACTCACCAACCTACTATAGGTGACATCCTTAATAACTCATATCATTGTATCATAGCTGGATGATCGTCATACTCGACTCCGAGTGACAGCAAAGTAGTAGTTTGTATTGTACATAATTTATAGTATTTGTTGGTCATTATCATCTCATTTTCGGCTTTTGTGTATGTATGTATGTATGTATGTATGTATGTATGTATGTATGTATGTATGTATGTATGTATGTATGTATCAGTGCACAGCTCAGGTAAAGCCTTTCCCCTCACCTACTTCTGACAAATGGAACTTGGCCAGGGGGGGATCGATCCAGGGCCTGATGGTAATTTGTAAGTGTTAGCCTGAGTTAATGACCATTCCCCCACCACCCAAATACCCATCCCTTCCCACCCACACCACACCTAAAGTTATCCACCCCACTCCCCAAATAAACCTCCCCACCCACTCCCTTCCATAACCGCCCCACGACCTCACTCCCTCGTTCGGTCGACCTCTCCGCCATCTTCCTCTTTGGCCTTTCCTCACTTACCTACGACCTTCCTTCCCTCCCTCCCTACCCTACTCCCTCATTCTTCTCCTATTATCCCTCTTACTCCCTCTTCCGTATCTCCCCTCTCTTCCTCTTCCCGCTGTTGGTCAATTCTCATTTCTCTTTTCATTCTATTTATCTTTTATTCTTTCAATATTAATATGGTTTTGAAATATTAAAGGTAAAGCAAAGTGTCTGACTGTTTATAAATCATTCGTATTTCTTGACATTTTGGTTCACCTGAAGATTAGACACCTGAATTTACCTAACCTAACCTAACCTAACCTAACCTAACCTAACCTAACCTACCCCTCCCCTCCCCCAAGCTATCCGTGGATCATCTTCAGGTAAAATAAGTTAGGGTGTCTAATCTTCAGGTCGTCCAACATTTTTTACTCTTAATTTGAATAATCTTAACGGAGCCGATTTTTTTTTGCTGTTGAAATAGTCGTCAAATAATCACTCATAAAATGTTGACATGAAGTTTTTTTATATATGCAAATGAGTGTTTTAATACCAGTGTACACGTGAATGTTGTTAGTATACCAGTGTTGTTTGTTGAGGCTACTGCAGTGTAGCCTTTATCACTGTAAAAAAAATAGTTTTTGTACATTTCTTCACCCTCACCAGGCAGGACGTCACCTCCCTTGTACCTCCTCGCCATGCAGGACGTCACCTCCCTTGTATACCTCCTCACCAGGCAGGGCGTCACCTCCCTTGTACCTCCTCACCAGGCAGGGCGTCACCTCCTTTGGGCGTCACCTCCCTTGTATACCTCCTCACCAGGCAGCGTCACCTCCCTTGTATACCTCCTCACCATGCAGGGCGTCACCTCCCTTGTACCTCCTCACCATGCAGGACGTCATCCCCTTTGTACCTCCTCACCAGGCAGGACGTCACCTCCCTTGTACCTCCTCACCAGGCAGGACGTCACCTCCCTTGTACCTCCTCACCAGACACATGATTCGACACACAATTTGCAAGACTTATTCATCTGCTTATGCCTCTTAGATAACTCACAGTTCACGGATTCCACACATTTATCTTGTATATATTGCAACGTGTTTCTGTAAGGCAGTAGATAATGATTATATACAAATTAGCCTTGAAAATAACATTGCCGAGGCTTAGCAACTACCGTGTGCTGGGAGGACTGTCAGGGCCTGTGTCCTGGACAGGCAGGAAGCCACACCACAGTAAATATTTCTATCTTATCTAAACAGCACATTCTATAGGGCCTCTACAACACATTGAATAACAACTTTCTTAAGTGTATGTTTATGAAATTTTATTTTGATTAATTTTTTCGTCATAAATTCAATGCTTCGTGATACAGAATTCCTTAATCACAAAAAAAACACGGAAATACAAAAAGAAATTAAGCCAAAAACGGAAATACGCAAAAAGAAGAAAAACAAATACCCAAAAAATAAGCCAAAACAGAAATACGCAAAAAAAAGACGAAAAACAGAAATGCGCAAAAGATTCTGACAATATTAATGTGTAAGAAACATAACATTCCCTAATATTTTAAATAACAATATTAAATTCTACCCCTCAGAGCATCACCCCAATACGCACACATACACACACACACATACTGTATACTTTCACTCCTCTGTAAACCGTAATTAACATTTATTCAAACTAGAATAATATGCTTCTGCGTGAGAGGCAATGAGTGACACGAGGGAAGGTGGAGGGAAGACACGTAACTTTAGCTCACGTGAGAGTTTGTGTCTCTATCGATCTGGGGAGCGGAAGTTAAGTCACAACTCTGGTCGCTAAGGCTTGTGGATCGTGTTTACGTCCTTAGCAACTACACAACAACGGGAAGCCACTTGATGACAGACATGACATAAAAAACGGAAATAACGAATAAAAATCAAAGGAAAAACGATATAGAAACCGGAAATAAATGAAAAACAAAAAACGATATAGAAAATAGAAATATTAAATGAAAAAAAACGACATAGAAAACAGAAATAAATAAAAAACAAAAGAAAAACGACACTGAAATCGGAAATAACATATGAAAAATAAAATAACAACGATATACAGTACAGAAGAAATGTGACACATAGAGTGGAAACGACACAGAAAGAAGTGACACATAGGAAGAAAACGACACATCGAAGAGGAATGACACATAAGGAAGACAGGATACATATTAAAGGAATCACTAATATGAGTGAAACAATACACAGGAAAATAACCAAAAAAATACTGAGAAAACTCGACGTCATATGAGAGGGTTGTCTACCCAGCAGTAATTGGGAACCTGGATGTTAATCGATTTGCGGATCGTATTCCGGGGTAATGGTTAGCCAGTGCAGTTGGCGACTTGTCCGGTCTTCCGGACTATTCCCTTGACACCGGGTCATGCAGCTCGTTTACTTGGGGTGTGGTTGTTGTGTTGGCGACAGCTTCTACACCTTAAACAAATTCACGCGGGGCAACTATTATAGATACATGCTGAATCACTGTAAATGTGTGTGATGATTTTACTTAATATAAGAACA